GTATTGTTTCATCAGCTAATATATTTGATATAGTTGTATATGGTAATTGAAGAAAATTTTTCATATTAATACATTGATTAAAATTTTTTGATAAATAATAATGTGATTCATAAAAAGATTTTTTCATTCCATAATGTCTTGATAATTCAAGCACACGAAATACATGACGTTTTTCAAATGTTGATAAAAATTCTTCACATATTTCAAAAATTTTTCCAATATCAAGTTCTTTTGCACAATTTAAAATATCATTTACATTACGAAATGTTAAAGTTAATTCACCTGAAGATATATTTATATATTTGAGTTCTTTCTTTTTTTTTTTCTCTCATAAAATGAATACCAGTATATAAAAAATTTAAAACAAGTTGAAGACCTTTATGTGATGTATGTCGAAGATGAGTACGTGTAACAAAATCAGTACGACGTTCACGAAAAAATGTCCTAAATGAAGAAAAATAAAAATAAGGAAGGAAGGTGTTCAACTGATAAATCAATTTTGAGTCGAGACTATGTGCATCATGTTGAGCTACGAGTATCGCAAAAAGAGTTGATGGTACCCTTAACTTAACTAATTGCTGCGTTGATATTTGTATTTTTATGGTATTTTTGTGAAACTCACATATATTATCGAAGAAAATAGTGAGTGTAAGTTTAAATCGAGGTCTTTATGGTAAAGGCGAGTCAGTAATAACAGTGCTTAGATCATTCTGATTCTTTCTAGAATCTTCCAATGAATTTTATGCATCTAAGAAGTTCTACTGTAAATTCTAACTAGCCTAAATATTGATGGTTTTGATAGTTTATGTAGCGAAAAGATCTTATTGTAGGTGCCAATCAGTAGAGTAGTGGAATTATTGATCTACTAGAGTCAGATTAGGGTGTACATAGAAAAGTATGAATTAATTGAATTCTAAGTTTACGTAAAATTCAACGGTATATGTCAAAGTTCGTCGAGAGAAAGGGTAGTGTGTTGAGAAATTTACTTAACAAATAAATCAATGCGTATATCGGATTTATATAATGATTGAACCGACAAAACGAAGTATAAAATGATATTTGCCACTTCCTATGTCATGTGTCATATATAAATACTATTATTAGAAGAAAAGAAGTTATGTGTTGAAGATATATCTGACAATACAAATAAATTTTTTCAGTATAACGACGGTAAATGAATCAAATAAATTCATAGGACAATAATTTTACATGCAAATATTTTCGAAATGATAAAATTTCAGAAGATGCATATCAACCGTGAGAATTGTTAAAATTTTGATTGGTTCGACATTATTTAAAATAAATTATTGTAACCCCACTGGCTGTATACCATAAATTAATAAGAGTCAAAGATTATAAGTTTTACTTTTTGACTCTTCATGAAGTCGCACTGACAAGTTTGTGAAATGAATGCCGTCGAGCCCCATGGAAACATCAGAAAAATTAGTTTTCAAATTTCGACTTGAAACTTTATATAGAGACATGTCTTAACGAGAATAGTTTTTGTAAATGTTTCAGATTTTGTCGTTGTTCGTATCCTAAGATACAACTATGATAATAGTGTGTCTTTTACATCACTTATATAAATCGGCAGATTTAATGTTCTTATTTCAAGACAGAAGCAAATCAAAAAATCTGAAACTACTTTCATTAAAACCCATCCCTATGCAAAGTTTCAAGTTGAAATTCAAAAATCAATTTTTCTGAATCTTGGTATTCATTTAAAAAATCTTGTAAAAGTGCAGTATCTCTACAGCAATATGTTTAGCGTCTGAGCTCATTTAAGTCTATATAATGCACATAGACTTGACTCAAAAGCGATTTATTAGTTGAAAGAGTTCTCTTGTAAATGATAATTATATGAATTTCTCTTACCGATATTTTGGACTAAATGCAGCTGAAACAAATATTTGATTGTAAGTACAAAAACCAGTATTTTGTTATTAAATAAATCCTACCAAGAACAATTCGATGTGCTAAATATTCACTTCCATCGACAACAAGCATTAAATCACAAAAACGTGATTCTTTCCACATTTGTACTAAAATTTTTCTTGCTTCAATTTCATTATTTGAATGAAGAAATCGTTGAATTATTTCTCGATCATTTATATCTCGATCTGATATTGCTATTGAATCATTTTTTATAGTTGTATATTTATTTTGTTCAATAAGAAATTCATTTAATTTAATTGTAAGAGGATTATTAATATTTGAACGACGTTGTGATGATGATAATGATGGACTTATAGTTGATGTTTCATTTGTATTTGATGATTGAGATGTTCGAAGATCTAAAATTGATAAACGAACACGAAATGGACGCACAAGCATTAATGGTGATGAACGTTGAGAAGACATTTAGAATTATACAATAAAAAAATACATTATCGATTAAAGAAAAATTATTTCGATCATCGAAATAATAGGAAAAACAAAGTTCAAATTTTGTTTAAGTAAAAAAAAAATCAAGAAGAAATTCATGCGCCAAACTTATTCATTTTTTTTTCTAGTATAATCAACATACTTTAAAATTATTTTTATAATAATAAGATTACAAGGATAAAAGAAAGCTAATCATTATTTTAGAAATATTTCTGTTTTTGTTTTTTTTTGATAAATTTCAAATGAACAATTCTAATTTGATGTCATGTTTAATGAACGAATTTATTGTAAAATTATCAACAAAATCACGATAAAATTTTCTGATGTTTGTTTTTATATAGTTAACATATCTTATCCTTGGAAAAAAAAACCAGATTCCGATTTTATTAATAATCAATTATACGAAATAAAAAAAAACCTTCAATGATTTATAATAAAAAAAAAGTCTAATTAATCATCAATATTAAATTAAAAAATACATGAGTAACTTTGTTAAAATTTAATTTTACTTCAGACAAACTTTTTATTTATTACTAAATAGTCCATAGAAATGTCTTCTATAATACAAGTGTCATTTTAATTAGGTTAACACTAAAATCTCAAACCTATGGAAAAAATAATAAGTTCGAAATATATCTGTCGAAGTTGACTTTAAAATATAGCAACATAAAAGTCTTATAAAATAACCGATGATAAATAATTCTTTTATTACCATCATAATCTTTAATAATGAAGAAAGCATTCTACTCAAAACTCGATGCTTATCTAAAAGCATTGAGTATCAGATAGCAATCAGAATGTAGGTATGAGTATCAGGGTGTTGTGAGGACACTGACATCTTTATGTTTATCAAATAAATAAACATCTATTAATTACTTTTTAAAGTCAACATATTTTAAACTTGAAAAACTTAAATTATCTTTGTTTTTCTTACGCACGTATACATTTAAAAGAATTGAAAAAATACTTAAAAAAGAAACAGTACGTCAACCGATAGACTATATTACTAATAAGAATACTTTAATAATGTCATAGGTTAATACAAAAATATAATGAAAATACATTATACAATGAAATTTCTATTAATGAACATATCTTCCATTTTCAATAAGATCTTTAAGAATAAAATACATATCACTAGAAAAAAAAAATATATATAATAAAATCAAATGTTAAATAAATAAATAAAAATATGAAATATCTTGAAATAAAATTTTATTATTATGAAAATCTATCATAGGAAATTAATGGATGTTATTCATTGATTGCATAATGATATGAGTATATATTATAGTGTTTAGGTTCATGCTAATACAAAAGTTTCTTTTTTGTTTTTTATTATCAACATAATTAGATTAAGAATTGGCGTATCAAGCTGAAGATTCGTGATTTCATACAATAAAACTTTATTGAAGAAGATCTTGGTTCATTGTAGTGATTTAAATGCATCTCCTATAGACATACATTTGTCTACTCTGAACTTGAATATTTTTTTTTTGTTACTATTTCCTCGATTGCTATTTTAACTGCTTTTTCTCACTCTTCTCTTCATCATTTCTGACTAATGAACTAAAAACTACTGTTCATTGTTCGTTATAATTGTACATATCAGTTAAAACAATGATATCACAACACCATCTTCCTTTAAGTTCAAAAGAAAAATTACAATTAACTAATTATAATAATGGATATAGATTTCGACTCTCGTGAGACTAAATTTTATACTGATAGTCTGATAATTTGCATATACTAAATTATACTGAGCGTTTACTTTTGCAATACTAAACCTTGTTGAATATATATGTATATATATATATTTCGATAAATTGTTCATCAAATTTACAATATTAATACACAACTTTGTGAAACAAAATAAAGTTTTATATTTTTTTTTTGAAACACTTGAGAATGCGTAACTATTCAAATAAAAGAAGACGAATAATACAGAAAATAACCTTTGATTACTTTAAAATTAAGTTAAGTAGCTTTTTTTCATTCTGTTGTAAAAAAAAGTATATATATATATATGTATATGATAGCCCCTATAAACAAACACATTTCAAATGTCTCGATGACGTTCATCTATTAAAGAGAAATTTGATTGTGTATATTCATAAAATGGATGTTGTCAAGGTTTAAAAGAAAAACAAAATAATATTATATTCAATCGGAAAACTGCTTTTTTTTTTCTTTGAATTTCTATTTTCCGTTAATTGTCAACATTGTTCTACTTATGTTTTCATTTCAAAAATTTAACGCTTTAATAGTATAATATAATTTCAACAGTGAACTAACGATCAATAAAATCATATTTTTAAAAGAGCAGGAAAAACTTTGAAAGCTTTTTGCTCTCCGTTGAATTGCTTGATTGTTTTGATTTCTTTTTTTTTTCTTTTATTTGAATTTGAATTTTAAACTTTTCTTCAATTTTGAATAGTTTATTATCTATCTACGGTAGGTTAATTTAAAACACATTTGACTTATTGCCAAATATAGATACAATCGAAAATCAAATTCAATGTTCATTCAAATTCTTCATTTCTCTAGATTAAATATTAGTCTTATTTTTTTCTTTGTGTTTATTCAAGAGTTTTATAACTGTGGTATCAATTAATATGGGTTCAGGTTCAAGTCGTAGTAAAGTACAAAAATTCGATAAAAGTATTCAAATGCCATCGATCATAGATATAGAACCTTCACCAAAACCATCTTTATTACAATCGTCATCGAAATTACATAATCCTCCATTTTCACGTGTTCCAACAGAAACAATTAGACCAAGAGTCTCTATATCAGAAAATAGATTTGAACTAAACGATAATATCGAAGAATATTCAGCAATATGGGATGATGATACTAAGGTGAGTTATTATTTAAAACTTGTTTCTAGATTTACTATTCTTATTTTGAATATTTTTCAATGTATTGATTGATAAAACATTCGTATAAATTTTTTATTTTTGTTTTTCCTAAATTATATTATTCAGTTCTATGTGTCTTCATTTCCTCTATTCGAATGATAAAAACTGGAGCTCTCTATCTTCTTCCTATCAAAAGTTATTCGCAATCAAAGACTGCCGGATTACTTTTGGATCATCCTGAATATACATAGTTCATTATTATTGACTAATAATTTCAAAGTAATTGTTTATTGTAACTTATCAAATAATATGATAATTCAGTGTTCTATTTAAGAAAAGTGTTTCAGTCTATGTCTGTAGACCTAAAATGTAAAATATAATAATGAATTTGTTAATTGAGCATTGCGATGAACTTAATTGTTAGTCAACAAAGAAATTATTTCTAACGAAGGAAACCTTTCCATATGTTTATTTCCAATTTCACTGATTTTTAGCCAGTAGGTATTACATTATATTCTAATAAAAATTCTAAAAAATTTTAAGTTTCAATTGAGATTTGATGAAGGTATTGAATTTTTATTATGTCTATTTGCCTGAATCCTCCAGGCTCTTCCAGAAAAATTTTGTATTGAAGCTTTCTCCATTTTAAGATTTCACAAACAATAGCTTTTATGAAGAGTGAAAATAGACACTTGTCGCAGCGTCATGAACTATATAAAAATATTTTGAAAAGTTTGCTTTTCGAAGATACAAAGTCTACATACTCTGAAACTTTTCAGATAAACTACTACGTGTGAGACCTTCAAATGGAGATAGCTACAAAACAAAATTCAATATTCACAGTATTTCCGAACACCTGAGGTCATACAGAAAGTTTTAGCAAATAGCCATATTAAAATTTCAATAGCTCCACCAATTCTCAACTGTTAAAGATTTTTATTAGAATACTATCTATAGTATCTATAGGCAAAAAAAAAAGAATCATTGAACTCAGAAAATGACATTAAGAGAAGGTTCCATTGTAAATTTTAATACTAACGAAGGAATGTTTTCCACTAATCGATTGTTTGCTCACCGAAAGTTAGTGAATTGTAGGTTATTAACCATGCTGATTTCGAATATGATCATAAGAAATCTCTTTAGATCTTCCTATGCTGGTTTTCTAGATGAACAAACTTTTTGATAAAAACTTCTTTTAATGTTCGATAATTTATAATCTAGTAGCTTTTGTTGAGAAAACGAGTGATCAGTTGCAAATGTTTAAAGACAAAAAAGATTCAAATTTTTCAATTTGTAGTAAAATTTTCATCATCCTTTGTAGATTTTCTATCTTGATTTAATTGTTTATATTTTTATAGTTATCATCAATATTTCAACAATCAATAAAATCTAATTTAAATAAATTTAATTATCATCAAAAAGAATCATTCAATAATAAAGGAAATAAAAAGACTTCGGCTAGATTTGATTCAATTCATGTTGAATCAACAGTAGATACTCAACTACATTCTTGTATTAATTTATCTTCATCGGAACAAATTGATGAACTTATGAATAATCTAAATCAAATTCATACACAATTAGATGAAAAAATAAAATATCGAACAGAAAAAATATCAAATGAAACTGAATCAATACTTTCATATATTCGTAATGAAACTCAACAAGAACAACAACATTTATTAGAATATGCTAAACAACAAGAAATACAACAAGATGAAAATTATCAAAAATTATTACAAGAATATATTTCTAAATTAAATGAAATGAAAACAAAAGAATTAATTGATTTACAAGATCAATTAGAAATCTATCGAGAACATATTATAGAAAGATCACAATCAAAAATAATTAAAGTTAATGAACAAGCTAATATTATTAAAACAAAAATTGTTCAAGAAGAACAACATTATGCAGCAGAAAAACTCGATTCTATTATGTCACAAATATATAAAATTTCTACTGATGAAAAACTTCAACATTTAGGTAGTGAAATAATAACAAAAACCAATGTAATAACAAAAGCTAAATTTGGTACTAAAGCACCTGGTCAAGTATGTGCTTTTGATTTCGATCAAAGTAAATAAACAATATACATTGACAAATATCGTGTAAACTTCGAACAAGAATAAATTGTAAATTAATTGAATAAAATTATCTTTCTTATACAAAAAAATAAAAAATATCAGGAATAAAATTTAACAGAAAGAGAAACTATTAACTCTAATATTATCACCTATGAAATAGTAGCTTGGTTCCCATTTGGGATGCGGTAGACAGCTGTGGGTATAAAGTTTGTTTTTTTTTGTCGGGTCCGGATCCATAATTTTATTTTTATCGGGTCTGGCTTCAATCTCTTATTTTTTGTCGGACTCGGTTACATGTTTTTGTGGACCTGATGCTTTCCCTAGATGAAAAATCCAGCAACAAGATATAACTGTACGTTGAGTATTTTTTCTGAGAGTAGCAAATAAATAACTAAAACCTTGATCTTTTACTTGTTCATGCACATGAAGGATACTGGGTACTGATGGAAAAAATCTCGGGTTTGGATCCAAACTTTAAACCTTTTTTGGGTCCAGGTTCATGGAAATGTGAACCCGTAGATCTCCACTAAGTGTAGGTTTAGATATGTGTGTTCTCTTCACTCTCACCTAGCTACATTCAAATTTACAACCACAATGAAAGTACGTTAAGTACAAGAGTATGTTGTTACCTACTCGGATTTCGGTATAGAGTTTTCTGAGTTATAAAACTATACTCTCATTGTATTTCGAGACTCCGTATACTTTCCTTATACTCCAGAAGTACGTTGTTTCTCCCTTTAATCTTTATCGAGAAGGTTATGGATAGATACTCTCTTAGGATTTTCTTAGTCTCATTCATATCTATGTTCTATCGATGATATGGAGTTGTATCTTGTGAGAAAGGTTTATTTATAGGATTTCTCTCTTTATAAAAGAAGTCACATTAGTTCAAATTCTTTTAGGCGTTTTCTTATACACGCAAAATATCAACAAACACAGTGTGGATCATTCGAGGATCTTCCCTTGTTAGTGTAAATAACATTATTTTGATTGCAATCCACCAACTGTAAGTCAGTTAAAAATTCTGAATTTATATTCTGAAAAAAGCATTAAATTTTGATTCTAATCTTCTTCAATGACATCTCAATGTCCAAAAGAAAAAACAAACAAATACATCAGCATCTTTTTTTATTTAGTATTTTGTGCAAACATTGATTGTGATTACTATCAAGGAATTGTTTTTGATAAACTAATTTTTAAATCAGAAAAAATTTCTAAATATATAATTAGTAAAAATATGAAACTTTGATTATTTTTAATTCTTTTCAATGAATAATAATTGCTCCGACATATTGTACAAAGACTTTTTTACATGTAGGTTAGGTTTAATTGATGGAAATTTCTCTTAAATATTTAATATCTTTCTTTATTGAAAGATAAAATGAAAATGTATCATTGACACACAACATATAAACTTTTATATTTCCTTTTTAAATATACACACAATAACAAAAACAAAAATGAAAGTTTATTTATTTATTTTTTGTTCTAATTATAAAAGACCTTGTTTTCGAAGATCATCATATGTTCGTTTATTAACAACATTTCCCAATGAATCTTCAAATTCTTCCTACAAACAAATAAAAAAAGAAATTAGTCGAGATAAATTTTTTAAAATATTCAAATCCATACTTCCATATCTGGTTTCCATCGTTCATCATCTTTATTATTTTTTAATTTATTCCATAATGATAAAGCATCTTCAATTGATATTATATTTGCAAAATGAGCTGTATTTGGAATACCTAAACATCGCATTCCATGTGCATGACGCCATTCCTAAATTTATTCATTAATTAATTCATCCGAAAAAAAAAACAAAACAACAACTTACAGCAAAATGACGTTGAAATGCTTTAGGTCCACGATATGTATGATTTCCACATATTTCACAATTAAAATACATATTAAGACCATGTAATTTATAAAGCCAATAGGGAATTGGCTAATAAAAAAAAAAATTTATTTTGACTTATTTTCTAATTAAATAAATTTAAAATTTACTTTTCCATCCCATCCAAGTGGTAAATTTTTTGGATTATAAATAAGTCCATCTTCTTCTGGACCTGAATCATCATCTGATATATCACCTCCACCTATATCATCATCATCTTCAATATCTTCACCAGCTCTTGCTTGTTTACGACGAACATTATCTAATGTTGCTGAACGTTGTTCACTTAATAAATCAACAAGACGATAAATTTGTGCTTCCATTCCAGCTATTTCTTTATGTCGAATTATTTCTTTACTAAAAAAAATATTTTTTTTTTCTATTTATTAAAGGAGAGAAGAAAAAAAATCAATACGAACTTTTCACGTTTTGTTTTATTTGTATCTTTCATAAATAATGATGGATCAAGATCTTCAAATGATTTATTTTTTGTTGCAAATAAACGTTTAGCACGTTCTTCTAATGTTCTATAACAATCAATATATACATCTATTACATAACAAAAAAACAATTCTTTTGCTTTTTTTTTACCCTCCACATTTCATTCCAAGCGCTAATAATGCAGATTTTAATCGATCAAGACCAACAGATGCTAATTCCTAAATATAAATTCAATCAAATTTTACATATCAAAAAATGATTTGATGACATGTTCTATGTTTCGATTCTAACGAGAGAAGTTTTTCAACTGATAAAAATGCTTTAGCGTCGAGACTATGTATATTTTATATTCTATCCTGAAATAAGGAAAATCGAAATTTGAAAATCAATTTTTCTCTTACAACGGCATTCATGATGTTGAGAAATACCGTAAAAGTATAGTATCTCAGTAGTAATAAGCTAATAGCACGAACTCGTTTCAGACATTTGGATCTACATAATGCACATAGGCTCGACTCAAAAGTAATTTAACAAAATGTTTCTTCATTTTTTAGCTTCTTGAATGATTCGGTAATATTACATAAGCAGAAAAGAAGACTATTACCACAAAAAATAATCCATGAATTTCGTGTCTCTAAAAGATCGAATCATAATTCCTAAACCAGAAATTCTAGAGAAATATTGATTCTATATTTAAAAGCAATACAATATTTCAATTCAAACTCAAATATTTTCAAATTTCTGCAGTCTTCTTTTAAGAGACTGAAAAATGAATGAACATATTATTAAATTACTTTTCAATCACATGTTATTCGATAAACACATAATAAACCTAATCGAGTTTTCGTGAAACATGAACTAAAGGAAATATTGAAATAAATTACTAAAAAAAAGAAACTCATATGCTTATAGACAAACTAAAAAGTTCTACAATCATACTATTTTAGTTTTGCTTGATGAATCGAATAGAGTATTTACACAGTATTCAACTAAAAATGATTTGTTAAACATGTTTAAGTGATAAGCATGTATCGAATTCGAACTCTAGTTCGTTGTTCCAAAATGAACAGTGTGACGTTTCGGAAACTATTCGATTAATTCTGACATTGTCGAATATTTAGGTAATTGCTCAAGCATTTCTTAAGGCATATGGATAATCCATTGAAGTACCATAAGATTCGCTCAAACGTAAGTTCAAATATTTTTGAACATCGTTGACTTTTTCTCAGGATACTCGTAGCAGAGATGTGCACCGCCTCTAAAAATCGACGAGCGAGCGGCGGAAAACATGAGTTAAACTTTCAAATAGTGACAACGATGTTGGCCGCTTCGTATGCCTTTTTACTGAGCGCGGAACGACCGTTCAATAACCACCGAGCGGTCACTCGCGGTTCACTGAAGTTGTTTTTTCATAGATTTAATGTAACAATATTCTTAATGAATATTGCTTAATATATTGATCGTGTAAACTCGTCCCAATGTAATTCAATAAATATAAAAATAGATCGAAAAAGTTATTAAAAATTGACGCAATAATAGCATAGAAGATGATTCTTTTTTCTTATACCACAGAGAATGTATAGCAAAACGATAGCACAAATCCATACGAAATATATATATGATAAAATACAGAACATGCATAAACCTGATTGAGAATGACAGAACGAAAGAGAAGATAATTTTTATCTATGAAGTATGTCTAACGAAAGGAGTAGCAGAAACAAGAAAACAATGTATAAATGACTCGATAGAACATTTAGTATAAAACAAACATATTTTATTAATCAAAATTTATCTGCTGTAGAATTTTAAAATGATATTTATATAAAGTATGAGTACGAAGTTCATGGTTTGCTATTTATTATTATTGAATAGAAAAAGGACGCCAATATTGCTGTACAATATTAAACTCGCCTTGAGTTTGTCAGTTTCAATTTCAAAACATATTCCAAATTAAGATTATGCGGCCGCACGAACGTTTCACATCTCCAACTCGTAGCTCTTGAATTTTTTATTCAGGCCTCCCCCCCCCCCCCTCAAAAATCGATTTCAGAGTCAAGTACATTCAAATCGTGTGAAACCTTCAGAATATGTTGGGACTGAAGGGCTCCTCTTTCAATATATTTAAATCTTTTTTTTTGTTTGAAAGAGCGTTTCAAGATGCAGTGCCTACCAGAGGCCGTTTTTTTCAAATTCTTATTTTTTAAGCGGAAGAAAGGGATCACAAATTTAATCACTCCAAAAACCCTCGAAAAATGCGCGCCAATTTAGATACCTGTTTGTATATATAATAAAAACCAAGCTTTATTTAAAAAAATAACTCTAGTAGACACTGTATCTTGACATGGTCTTTCAAACAAAAAAAAAAAAAATATAAATATATTGAAAGAGCCTGAACAGTGAAATTTGGGTTGCATGATCAAGAAAGCATAAACTGAGAAAAAACGAAAAACATTTTTTGTTTTATCTGAAAAACGCATACTTTTCAACGAAAATCATCAAAAATTTTGGCCAAAACAAAGATGTCGAGTGAAAAATTATATCATTTCTGAAAGATCTGAAGACGGACTATCTTCTCATGCATTTATCTCAATTTCGAAATTTCTGACAAAAATTGACTTTTTTTGATGGAGAGGTGGCCTTCCCCTATTACCTTAGTTCAACT